ATGATATAATGTACTTTGAGAAGAATGATTCTTATTCATGGTGAGGAGAGCTTGAATGCCTCATGATTTCTGGTGATCTAAAGGTTGGGTGAATTTGCGGACCATCACAAGCATTTCCGTTGATAATTTCCAAGGATGATTGGCGGGAACTTTGTGAGATGAAGATACTGGCTTCTGGTGGTAATGTTAATGGCTCAGTCATTTGAAACATTAATTATTTGCTTATTCTGAACTTACATTTCTGATATTTCTGAATATATTCCTAGTTTGCATTTCTAATTTCATTTTTATTGTAAATATCCTTTTTTTGTTTTTAAGTAGCATCAAGTCAGTTCTGACTTATAGTGACCTTGTATAGGGTTTCCAAAGAGCAGTTGGTGGGTTTGAATTGCTGACCGTGTGTTTTGCAGTCCAGTGTTTATCCTACTGCGCCACACCGGGACTCCTCAACAGCCCTGTGGTTGGTTGTGCTTAGCTCCTTTCCAGTCGGTTCCGCCTCCTAGTGACTCGGTATTGAGTTTCTGAGGCTGTCAGCCTTTACGTGGAGCGTCTGGTAGATTGGAGCTCCCTATGGTTAGCAGTCCAGCTTGTAATCGTCTAGTGGCTTTCCTTTATGCCCTCCTTAGGGAAATTTCGTAAGTGGATAATAATCCAGCCCACTGCTGTCAAGTGGATTCTGATCACACTGCTGTTCAGGACAGAATAGAACTGCCCCAAGCCTTCCAAAACTGTCAGTCTGTCCGGGAGCACACAGCCTCAGCTTTCTCGCACGGACCGGCTATGGGTTTGAACTGCTGACCTTTTGATTAGCAGCCTGATGCTTAACCTGCAGACTACCAGGACTTTTAATAAAGTCAACACTTTATTCTTTGTTCTGCACTGTTTACCATTCTAAGCACTGTATACATATCATAGCAATTAATCAGTCCTTGCTACATCTCTCTAAGGAAGTTACTGGGTCTCCCCATTTTACATTGAAGACACTGAGACACAGGTAGTTGAAGCAGCTGGCCCTAATCATGCAGCTCATACATGGTAGGATTTAAACCCAAGTGGTCTAATTCTAAAGTACTGTCTACGACTCTTAAGTTGTTGTTAGTAAGTGCCATTGAGTCAGTTCTGACTCATAGTGACTCTGTATAGGGTTTCCAAGGCACGACTGGTGAGTTTGGACCACCGACATTGCAGTTCAAACCGACCTTGCAGTCCAGTGCGTGTCCTACAGTGCCACACCAGGACTCCTAAAGCTTGTATTTCTTGAACATTTGTTGACAAGTGAAGAAAGTGACATTTTGGGATTTGTGAGACTCACTTGCACTTTTGTAACAGGTGTTGCCTGAACTAGGAATTATGTTCAGCCTTGTTACTAAGTTAGTCAAACTAAGGGCAAAGCCTTATTATTAAATTAAAAACACAAGTATGAAGTGTAAATTTGAAAACTGTTGCATCCTAAAATTCAGACTAGGGTGGGTAGAGGGGGGTATCGGACTTCAGAGTCTCACTGGTAGGTACTCTGTTTCTTCAGCTGATGGGTGGGCACCTGGGTCTGTGCGTGGCCACGTTTGTGTTACATGTGCTTTTATTACTGTATGACTTAGTGTGTTTTAAGAATATTGAAATTGCTGGGGAGGGGAACAGACACAGAGGACTAAGCTTCGCTGGCGGCTCACCGTGTGTAACGTGCTCTCCGTTCTCCTGTAGTTTGCTGTGTCGCTGTGAGGAACTGTTTAGACTGCCGACAGAGACAGAGGGACAGGGGCAGCAAGCCCCAGGAGGCCCCCCAGAGTGTTCCTGCCGCAGCTGTGTCCAAGGTAATGGGGCATCTCTATACTAAACATGGCTTACCTTTTCCTTCGTTATTGTAAAATAGGAGTGGGCTTTCAAAAGTTGGTGGGAAAATCCTTGATCCTTTTCCATTCTCCATGAGCTGTTTGAAGCCCCTGGTATATATCACATACTGCTTGTCATTTTCAATTGTACAGCTCTGTAGTCACCATGCTGCACAGCCAGCACAACTACTGAGTCCACAACCTTTCTGTCACCCTCGTGCCTACCTAACACAGTCCTCTGAAACTCTGCAGTGGCCCTGGTCCCTGGAAACCACTACTCTGTTTCCTGTCTCCATAGACCTGCGCATGCTGGACAGTTCCTCTGCCGGAAGCACATGTCCAGGCTTGTCTTGGCTTTGTGGAGGAATTCTGTACCACCGCAGGCAGGCGCCACACTGCGTGTAGCCACTCAGCTGCTGATGGGCATTTGGCTAATTTTTCCTTTTTATCTTTTAAAATCTAGGGAACAAAGCGAGGTGGTATTGCTGAATGGTGTCGGTCAGTTGTGAGCTCTCTTGCTGGCTTGACTGCTTAATAATTATTTGACCAAGTTGACTGAAGTTCTCTGAGCCCTGAAGTCTACGTATAGAGCGAGGACACCGTGAAGTTCAGCTCCTAGGGTTGTTATAGCAATTGTATCAGCATTGTGCTAAAGTCTCTTAGTGATTCTTCTCACTAGTTACATGCATGCCACAGAGACCAGTGTCTGCATTGTTGTTGTCGTTGTGAAGTGCTGTTGAGTCGGTTCTGACTCATAGCGACCCTGTGTAGGGTTTCTAAGGCTGTGAGTCATTGTGGGAGCAGAAAGCCTCATCGTTCACCTGTGGAGCGGCTGGTGGGCTCGAACTGCCAGCCTTGTGGTTCACAGTCTAGTGTTGACCCAGTCTAGTGAGTGAGTCATTGCTTGGAGACTTGACGGAGTACTGTGGGTAGCCAGCCGTGGTTGGGAGAGCTGGTGTGGTAACAAGACCGAATCTAGGACAGAATCTATTAGTAAGGGCTCTGCTTGGCAGGGGTTAACGTTTTTCTTCTTGTGTTTACACACTTCTTGTGTGTCAGGTGAATAAGGAAAACTTCACTGACTTTTTCATGTGGTTGGAAAAGCATCTCACCAGTCACTAATGCTTCATTGAGCCCCATTTTACGTTTTATAAAAAGAAACAATGTTAGCTTTTCCTATCACACAGCCTTTATAAGGGTCTCATTGGATTGTAGATACAGAACCCATTTAGAAAGTGTAAAATGGCATAGGAATGAAAGTGTTTCTGAATGTTTCTCATTAACTCTGTAAGTTATGTAACTTGTAAGTGTAATTTAATCTTACTTTGGTAAATATGAAAGGACTTCAAAACTTGGTGGAAAAGTTCATTATCTTGTGATTCCATCCTTTTTGGTGATTTCTAAATCAGCTCTCACTTCCTCTTATCCAAAGTGAGCTGACAGGAACCACATCCCCAGAGGCCACACTCACTGCCCCGCCCCCACCCCCCACCCTACCCCAGTGTACCATGAGATGTTGGGAGTCGGGTCTGTAGCGAAGCTCCACTTGTGTCCTTCAGTAACATTGCCATGTGCAGGACTCCTAGTTGACACTTCACAGATGGTACCTAAGCTGCACTATTTGGACACATTCCATATGGGAAATTTAACGAACTCAGTTCTCTCACTAGTATGCTATTATATAGATTACCTAATGAGTTTTTGTTTCATCAACTATAAAAAGGATTTTGGTGGGCATCATTTTTCATTTCTTTCTCTTGTAATAAGGAATGGCTAAGTTTACATTTAAAAACAAATGAACTTTTTTCTTAGAGGTTGTAAAATGCAGACATGTATAAAAGCCTGCTGTTATTGTTTAGTGCCATGCCATCGGTTCTAACTCAGTGACCCTTGTATAGAGTTTCATGGAACGGCTGGTGAGTCTGAACTGCCAACCTCGTGGTTCAAACCAACCTGCAGTTCACACTGACCTTGTGGTCCCGTGACTCCATGTGAGTGTAATAACACCCTGCGGTCATCTATGCGCGCCTTCACGAGCGTAATAATATTCCATGGCAACTGCATGCATCAGACTGGATCAAAGGCCATCTGCTTATACTCGTATGCCATGGTAATAGCACATGTTAAAACATGTAAAGCCCATGTAAGTCCTGGGGTGGCACTGTGGGTTAATGTGCTGGACTACAAAGTTGGTTTGAACTGCAAGGTTGACGGTTCAAGCTCACCAGTTGCTCCTCAAAAACCCTATTCAGGGTCACTATGGGTCGTAACAGACTCAACAGTACTTCACAACAACAAGTATAAAACAAGTATTAATGGAATGCAGTGACTTCTTTTGGACAAGCACTGGACTTTGAACCACAAGATCAGTGATTCAAGCTTATCAGCCACTCCTTAGGAGAAAGATGAGGCTTTCTGCTCCCACAAAGATTTACAGCCTTGGAAACCCAATTCTAGGTCATTCTAAGTTGGAACCAACTCGAAGACACTTAACAGCAACAAAAACAATCCTTCTCTTTGACTTGGGGAGGGAGGCCTGTTGTGTCACTGTAGGGTAAGCACTGGACTGCTAATCCCAAGACTGGCAGTTCAAACCTACCAGCTCTTCCTTGGAAACCCTATACTGGGTCACCATAAATCGGAACCAACTCGGTGGCATCTAACAACAATAAATATAATACACCATATTAATATCACATGTTCTAACATATAAAAAAGCCTATACAAATGAATATAATAATATAGCATGTTATAACGTGTAAAGCCCATGAAAGTATAATCCTATGCCTTGGCAATTTCACATGTTACAACATATAAAGCCCACATGAATATAATCACATGTCATGGTAATCTCATGTTATAACATACAACGCACATGTGAGTATAATCATATGCCATGGCAGTCTCACATGCTATAAAATATAAAGCCCATATGAATATAATCATATGCCATGGTAAATCTCACACGTTATAACGTATAAAGCCCATACGAGTATAATCATATGCCATGGTAATCTCACATGCTATAACATATAAAGCCCATATGAGTATAATCATGTACCATGGTGATCTCACATATTTTCTAAAGTCCACTGGAGTATAATCATATGCCATGGTAATCTCATACATTATAACATATGAAGCCCATGTGAGTAGAAATCCTATGCCATGGTAATCTCGTATATAATAGCATCAGGATAGATGAATGAGCCCGGAGACTCAGAGGTCAGCAGAGGGAACCTCAGAGAGAAGCAGTACCAAGCCCAGGACCACACAGCAAAGGCTTGAGGGCAGATCTTCTGATTGGAAGCCTTTTTTTCCTACCATCATCTGACCTGCCTTTATGAGTCTAGGAAAGCTATGCTGATGAAGACCAAGAAAATTGGAAGTGAAACTGACGTGTGTCGAGGTGACCATCAAAGTCAATTCCTTGTATTAGGTGATTACAGACAACAGATGGTCAGGTGATGTTGAGTAGAGTGTGGGTAAAACTGAAGATGTTAGAAATGATGCTACAGTGTGGTTTTCTGAAATCACAATTCTCTTTGTTTTTAAGACTCCATTAGAAGGTGTTCCAGGTAACCTTTCTCCGATTAAAGATCCGGATCGACTTCTTCAGGACGTTGACATCAACCGCCTCCGTGCTGTTGTCTTTCGGGATGTGGTGAGTTACGCCCACCTGACCTACCTCTCATTTGTGGGAAATCATTCACATTTTGTGCAAAAGTGGTTGTGGTCTGAGATCACTTTGACCGCATACCTCTGGTGTGAACTGGCTGTAACTTCTCTGAAAGCTTATGGTTCCTTTCTGTTCCCCCTCTCCTGCCCAGGACCCAGGCTTCATGTCAAATACTGTGCTCTGAGTTGCCTGGGATTCAGACTTTTCACATTGGTTTAGTTTTGCTTACCCTTTTGACCCTTGTTGTGTAATTATATTATTGTCCAATGCAGAGCAGTACCCTGCGTCCAAAACTTGTATGAGGCCTTATTAGAAAAGTGGTCTTTACGTTAGAATTTCTGTCTTTAAAAAAAGGGATGTTGAAGTTTATGTACACTAAGAAGAGGGATGCCATTGAGAAATCATAATCTGTCTTCAGTTGCCTTCTCTAGTCTTGGAGCGCTTCTTTTTCCGCTTCCCAGTTCTGAGTGTTTTTGATGGATGAGAGGGAATTGTTCAGTAAGGCACCTGGTGGCCATGACTGAGTTTTTACAGTTAGACTCGTATGTGGAAAGTTTAAGATAGAAAGAGTATAATGAAGCTTAAGGGAAAAGGGTAGCTGAAAGAGAGGGCTGTGTGGAATTCTGATCACATGATCTGATCAAACGCAGTAACAACAAGATTGACCTTTGCATAAAATGAGGAGAAAGCTAAGATTTGATGGCTGATTCCAGGTTGGCAGCTGTCCTTAATAGAATTATCGTTTAGTAGCCATTTTGGATTTTATTTTTCTTATTTTAATTGGTGACACATAAAACATCCAGGAAAGGTTCTTCTTCAAGTTTCTGTTCAGTAATACGTTGGTTTGAGTCCTTTTTACTTTATAGAATGTGTTTCAAGTATGTTTTAGTTACACATCATAATGCTTCCTGGTAGAAATAAGAGAGAAATTCAAATTTCTCTGCTAGAAACACTGTTAGTGTTTTGAGTATATTTTGTTGTTGCCATTAAGCTCCTGGGAGTTGGCCCCGCCTCAGAGCAACCCTGTTTAGGGATTCCTAGGAACGGTTGGTGTGTTTGAACTGCTGATCTCTGGTTCCATATCCAGTGCCCCACCAGATCCCTTGGAAAAGTGTAAATGTGCTCACAGAAAAATATGTGCACAGACAAATGCTTAGTCAATGTAAACTAGGAAACATAAAGCAAAGACATATGCTTAAAGGTCATGCTCGCCAGTAATCAAGGGGACAAACTTTTTTAAAAAGAGATTTCTGACTCTGCAGTGAGGTAACATTTTAGATGGTAGTGAGGAACATTGAGAGGGGGCAGTGATGTTCCCTGTCTTCTGTAGCTGGGAGGGAGGCAGGGGGCCTGGACAGACATCTCAGAGAGCTCTTACCACAGTGTTCCCAACTTGCACCCATCTCAGTGACCTGTGACCTGTGACCTGTGGTCTCTCACCAGAGACCCTTTAGGAAAGACTCTCTAGCGTTTAGAATAGCTCGTTGGAGAGTTTTAGCTTCATTCAGTGGAGTGGCCATTAAGTAATATTTTTGTGGAGAATTTAGTGGCATGGAAAAATGTTCATGATATATTTCATGGCAAAGCCCCAGTGTACAACGGTACGTGTACTCCATGATACTCAGTATACTGAGTGTGTACACATGTGCTCTGAATTGAGTAATAGGCAAAACATTACTAAAGACCATCTCTAGGTAAACGTTTTTATTATGTTCCTCATCCTTTTTCTTTATTTGAAAATTTTCTACCAAAATATATTTATTTTATAATTGATAATTATGGTGTTTTGAAAACATAAAAGCTAAAATATAGTGTAGAAAGCATGATGTGAGAATCCCTCTGTAATCCCAACTCTAGATTTGTAAAAAATATATATCATTCTTATTAATAAATTAATAGCTTAGAAATGAGAATTATTCATCCTGAAAAAAATGTGTTCTCAAAGAACCAGATGTAAAATAATGAGCATCAGATACCACCATGGAGTTTGCCTTCTTCTCCCAGAGCCAGGACCAGACCTAGCACAGAAATAGAGAAGGGTTTCATGGTGATGTGCTTGGGGCCGGAGCTGCCATCCACTCGATTCCAACTCACAGCCATTCTGAATGGGGTTTCTGAGGATCGGTTGGCTGGTTTGAACCGCCGACCTCACAGTTAGCAGTCCTTTGTCTACCCTACAGCGCCACACCAGGACTCTGTATGAAATATGAAGGGTGATTAAGGATGGTGGCCATGAGTGTGTGTGTGTTGTCGAGTTGGTTCTCGCTCAGAGTCATCCTGAATAGGGTTTCTGAGCTGCACAGCTTTTCTGGAGCAGAAATCCTTATCTTTGGTCTGTGGATTGGCTGGTAGATTTGAACTGCTGACCTTGCAGTTAGCAGCCCAGTGTGTGATCCATTACAGTACCGGGGGAATTCCTTTGTGAAGGGTTAGTGAATTCAGTACTGGTGATTCTCGTCGTGGTGCTGTGGTGTTAAGTGCTGTTGAATTGGTCCATGACTCATAGCAGTAGTAACAGAACAGAACAAATGACTGCCTGGTTCTGAACCATCCTCACAATCGTTGGTAAGCTTGAGCCCATTGCTGCTGACACTGTGCCAGTCCATCTCATTGGGGGCTTCCTCTTTTCCACTGACCCTCCACTTTACCAAGCATCACGACCTTCTCCAGGGACTGGTTCTTCCTGATACTATGTCTGAAGTGTAAGAGACAAAGTCTCGCCTTTCTGGTGCCTAAGGAGCCTTCTGGCTCTCCTTCTTCTAGCACAGACCTCTTTGTTCTCTGGCAGTCCGTGGTAGATGATGGTGGATGACAAGAACTTTGTATAGATGCATTGTACAGATCCGTAGATAACTTGTAACTACTGTTGCCCAGCAGTGGTGCTTAGCTTCCTCCTGTGAAGCGGTTGAATGAAATGTTGTCTGGATGTGCCTCCAAATGTCAGCCACGTTAACAGCCCTGTGGTCCGTCATGGATTAAGAGTTGGACTGCTAGGTGAAAGCTCCTGCATTTACAGCCACCAGCACCACTCCGTGGGGGAAAGCTGAGGACGTCTGCGGCCACAAAGACTGACAGTAGCGGAACCCCGGGGGGCCGCTCTGCTCTGTCCCTAAAGTCGCTGTGAGTCCCAATCAACTAGTTGGCACTGGGGTCTGCTTTTTTGTGTTTGTGTATCAGGCACTGGGTATGTATTGCCCTGCTGGTTAGTTAAGGATTAGCAGGAAGTTCGGACTCCGAACACTAAGGTCACATGTTAGTGTGTGGTGGGGTCAGAATTTCAAGGAGCCTTTTTGTGAAAGTTTTCTCTTCTTCCCCATCATAGTACACAGAGTTTAAGACACTTTGTTTTGCCCACATTTAAGTAGCCTCTGACATTTGGACCTGTTTTACAATTGATAGCCTGGTAACATTCATTGTAGTTAGTTTGTTAGGAATTATACCTAACAAATTGATTTTTGACATTTGTATAAGTAATCATTTCTCATTGGTTTTCATTTCTACAACAAGAGATTCCAAATGGAGTCAAATTCTTAGGGGAGGAAGAAGGTAAGATGGGTGTGTGCGCGTGTGCGTGT